GAACATGAGGAACTTATATGGGACTGAATGGTGATTTTAAGTCATAAATGTGACAAACAATAGGGACTCAATGGGATTCAACGGGACTCAATGGGATTTAATGGAGATATCGTGAGATACATATATAACTAATTAATCATAACTATTTGGGTTCGTCCAAAAGATGAGGTATCACTAGTATACCCCAAAATTGTCAGTTTCTGATGGTGAAAACTATGACCAACCATGATGATTTGGGGTGACCTATTTCAAGACAATCCTTTAGTAACCCATCCTGCTGAGGATTTCCCCACTATTCCAGCAAAGTGCTCGGAGTTTTGGTACTCCAACAGGCCAATTTGGTCCTGCAAACTCGTTATCAAAGTGTCCACAAAAAAAAACGAGCATGGTGCGTCATGATTGGTTCCCGCCACAAAAACTTGCCATGATCTCGGCAGTTGTTCATACTTAGTGTTCCACTTTGTCCCACAGCGCATGTTTCCAAAAAGGCCAGTCCGGAGCCATCGACGGCGCCTCGCGCCACTATAAGGATCCGGCCCTTCGGACGTCGGAATCTCTCCGGGGTCATCGATGTGGAGGAAGTGGAGATCATCCCTTGTAGCTCGGACTCGCGGGGGGATGGTTATGGCAGTGGTCACCCTGGTGAATGACGCCAAGTTTTTTTTGGGGAGGTCTTAAATTGGGGGATCCCCAAAACCAAAGGTTTCGATACTAAATGGGGGCACCCCCATTTTAGGAAAGCTCTATACATATTTTACATGTTTGGCAACCATTTATAAGCTAGGAACCCAGGGGAAAAAAGGCCTCTCTACCATTCATGTACTCTATGATGCGCAATCACGCAACCTGTGGCACCATGTGACAGTTTCCACCATCAAAAAAAAAACGGTGGTTTTGATCCATCCTATAGCCTGTTTTTGCTGGAAAGGGGGTAGATCAGCTGGAGGTGACAGCAAGAGATTCAAGGAGGAGCCGGAGCCAGATGCACAGCAGACAGATGCTGCAGCAGAAGTTGATGCTGATGCTGATGCGCCCAGACAGGAGTCCCCTGAGAGGGAAGCCGTGGCGGCTGAACCACCGGCCGAGACTGCTGCGCATGATGATGATCCTTGGGGCAAATGGAAGGGAGGAGAAGAAGGCCGGGAACCAACTTCACCAATTGAAGCTCCAGTGGAAAAAGATGGCGGCTGAGTTTTTTTGGGGAGATGGGTTGTCAAGGTGGTGCTCCTAGGGATTTGGCCATTAAGGAAATTGCATGATGTCTTCCATCATCATAAAATGGATGTTAACTTTTTAGCAATGAACATGGAGATTGTATGCAATTGTCACCCCGGCTAGGGTATGCTCGCGGTAGCTTCAGCCGACAACTGCTGGTCGACTTTAGGGACTTTAGGGCCACTGATCGGTGTGCTGAGACAGCTCCAGTTGATCTTCAATCCTTCTTGGCCCAAGGTCTGTAGTTTTAGCGTTTCACCTGCCCGTGAATCAACTCGTCCAGGTCACATCAATAACCAGATATTACAAGATACTGTGATACACTGTGGATCCCTTCAAGCCTATTTTCCCGCAGAAAACATGCAGCCGATGAAATTATAACTACTTTGTTTGGCTTTGGTATCAACTTACAGTGCAACTTCCACCCCTCTTGGGTACAAGAGAAGTGAAGTCTTGGTTTCGCCTCGAAGTTACCAATACTTCCTGAGTCCATTCAAACTGATGTTCAGGGTTTCACCGTGGCAGTCATTCAGACTCAACGTTCACGGCCTTAATATATCTCCGTCGCCGATTCGGGCCGTTCCAAAAATGGACGACTTTTTTCGCTTCGAGGTGCCGATTCGACACTGCTATGCAAAGATTTGTTTGCCAGGTGGAGCATCGATGGTATGGGAATATTGAAATATTAGCTATCATGATATATATATATACTATAATACACCACTGTTCATTTATTGGCTATCATGATATATACTATAATACACCACTGTTGATATATACTATAATAGACCACTGTTGATTTATACTATAATACACCACTGTTAATTTATTGGCTATCATGATATATACTATAATACACCATTGTTGATATATACTATAATACACCACTGTTGATATATACTATAATACACCACTGTTAATTCATTGGCTATCATGATATATACTATAATACACCACTGTTGATATTTACTATAATACACCACTGTTAGTTTATTAGCTATCATGATATATACTATAATACACCACTCCCAAGTGGACATGCAACATAATCATACATAATCAACATAGATAGCTAGACAGCCAGATACATATTCTCTCCTCAAAGCACCTCAAACCACCACAGTCATCAACAGACAGGATTCTGGCGACTTGGAGGAGGACATCGATGGGATCCACTGGCTTCTAAGATGTGGCTACTCAGTGGTGCTCCGAGCCACCAATTATATACAGGTACTGTACGACTGATGGCCACTTTGGGGTGGAAAATTGGTCTGTGTAAACCATATGTGACTTGGTTTATAGAGTCCAATGGGCAATGGTTGAGTGGTTTATAAAGGCTGTTTCTCTACTCAGTTTGACCTATCTGAGGTATCTGACGTGGACTGGGAGCAACCTTCCTATTGACAGAAGTTAGACTTCATAGAGGATGGAGCCTCATCATAGCATGTTCATAGAGTCGCGTTTGAGACACCAATTCACTGAGATGTGCTTGAATGTGCTTCTTGAATAATCTCTTGTTGGGAACCGGATTTGTAGCTGCTTTACAACATAAATGTAAGCCAGTTGCTTTCCATTTCTAGCAACCCCCAAAAAAGATAGAACAGCATATAGAAAAGTAATTTAGATACTAATATTTCTAGCAGAAAAAAGTATATAGAAAAGTTATTAGAACCAATGTATTATTACCTGAAGTGGCATCACATATAGAGAACAATAAACCGCCTGTATTACCCAAGTAGTATCACATAGTATTACAGCAAAGTATTACCATACCATATTGGATCTGACCAGGACTGGACTCCGTCAAACGCCGGCTTTACCTCCCCAAGTCACCGCAGTGTCCTGGCATTGCGCGAGCTCGACCAAAAGACGCCCCAAAAAGGTTGCAACATATGCCATAGGTTTTCGATCCGCTGGACACTTACACATAATCCAATGGCTTCAGATGTTTCAGGGCTTCAGGGTTTTTCAAGGCCAGTTGCAATGCGTGCCATGTAGAAATATACCATGGCATGGAAAGAAAGGCCATCTGAGCGAACCACCATTGGAATCGGACTGGGCTCTTTGGAATCGGAGATCCCCAGTAGGTGACCCAGTAGGTGATCCAAAGGGTTTCCAACTTTGTGAACACAGCATCGCTATCTCTAATATATTCTAAGATATTCTAAGATATGCTTAGATATTCTCAGATATTCTAAGAGATTCTAAGATATTCTAAGATATTCTAATATATTCTCATTTATGCTAGTATATTCTAAGATATTCTAAGATATTCTAAGATATTCTAAGAGATTCTAAGATATCCTAAGATATTCTAATATATTCTCATTTATGCTAGTATATTCTAAGATATTCTAAGATATTCTAAGAGATTCTAAGATATTCTGAGATATTCTAATATATTCTAAGATATTCTAAGATATTCTCATTTATTCTAAGATATTCTACGACATTCTAAGATATTCTAAGAGATTCTAAGATTTCTAAGATATTCTAATATATTCTATTTTACTGATACACTACTTCAATTTTTCTCGTCTCATAAATTAAGTCTGCCGTATTCTTTTCAAACTGCTTCGGAGCCTTCCTGTGACCTGCAGTTTATGACTCGTTCAAAATCCACCACCACCTCAGCTCCCATTTGGTCAGGTTTGGCGCCTTCAGAACCAATTGCAGAGACATCCGCAGATGATGATGAATACAGCCAGAAACCCAGACCATACCGCATACCCCTGGTATATTTGCCTAGCTTCCATGTGATGGTTCAGAGTGTACGGCCGTGAACGGTTTCTGTAGGATACAGTGTTGAAGACACACGTAGAAATGCTGCTCAAACTTCAGATCATTGCACACTGCCTATGGTCTCTTTGTGCTTGTCAGAGACATTGGCACCATGAGCGAAAGCGGAGATTCCTGCAGGTGATGATTTTGATACAAACTATTATGATGACATGTTCTACGACGACGACACAGAGGAGACACAGGACGATGAAGCCGACTCAGACCGGAACGCTGGTAGAAACCTCAGCTGCACAGGTACACTACTGTTATTGGCACAGGTACACTACTGTTATTAAGTGTATAGATTTGCTCTGGAAAATCACCGTGTTTGAAAACGGCAAATCATTGAAGTAAATATCAAATGGAAATGTTCCATAGCAAATCACTGCAAACCATTACTTATTACCAGATGGCATTCTTAGTTTATTACTTCCCATTTTGTATTCGTCATTGGTGAAACCCCAATGTTTCATTGTTAAACCCCATATAAATCCAATATAGAAAATCGCCGTTGGTTGTTAAAGGGTGGTCAAATCACCAGAGTTTGGGCACTGGGAATGCCATCATGTCAGCGAGGCCCGGCAGCCAATGAGGCCCGGTCGCCACATGGCGAGATAAATAGAGATCCTATGGTATATGGGTATGGATGGGTATACTGGGGTTCAATAATATATATATATACATACATATACATATAGATATATATATATATACATATATATACATATATATATATACATATATATATATATACATATATATATATACATATATAATGTGTATATATATAATATATACATAATATATATATATACATATGCGCATACATAGTTGTACAACCAACTTAATATGATTGCGCGCGTGTCCAAAAAGGTATACCATGGTATACCCACAACGGGCCACGTGAATAGGAAAACACGATACACCATGGGATTTAAGGGCGCCCAATTTTAAGTCAAACCCATAATGTGTGAGTCATGGTGAAGACTTGGGTAAATTGTCCATATTGGGAGATGGTCATCAATCCATGTTCATGTGGATTTATATATGCACATTACAATAATTCCCATTGTGGGACGCATGACCATAGCCACATACCATGTTTAGACCATGATGATGGTTGGGTTTGAGGGAAAGTTGAACGGACGCCATGTTTTACCGAGATCGGTTACCCTCCGGTAATCAAACATGGCCACAGATTCGTGTTATAAAGAGCTTTCCTGTGAAGTTTCCCCCTCCACAGGACCCAGCATGGGAAGACTTGGGCCCATGGAGAGCTCCCGTAGAGACTCAGCCAGAAGACCCCAGTGTGGACCTCAAAGTCTCCGTGAACTGGACAAGTTTCATGCTGTTTTCCGGTGGGTTGAAAGCGCCCAGCCTGGTTGAGGTCCTTCACAAGCTGCAAGTCCCGCAGCGAACGAGGAGGTTTGATTGAATTTATATACAGTAACCGGCTTTAAAAGATAGAAAAGTGAGTATTCAACACTATTTTAATGAGATTTTGTTTTTCTATCTTTTTGGGGTTGATGTATGGGTTGGTGATTCCTTGTCTTGAAACATTCGGAAATATGTTAAGTGCTTGACAGGATCCAGCAGTCCTGGAAGAACAGGGTTCGGATCTCAAGTCCGTTTAGGGCCTAAGGGCCAGTTATGTTGAGGTTTCCAGCTATGGGGATAAAAATGCGAACTTTGAGGTGAATCAGAGGCTCATGATCCTCAAGATGATGTTTATAGTGCACTCCTGAGAACAGCCATGGGCAGCCGTTGCGCTGACACTCTTTGGATCCAGGGCTGAAAGAATCTGAGTTCCCAGTATCGGTACTTGCTGCGTCTTGCTGAGATACGTTTGGGTGTGATTTGCAACATATGGAGGTTTCCTACAATAGGGGTACCCCAAATCATCCATTTATAGATGGATTTTCCTGTATAAATGGATGATTTGGGGTACCACCATTTTAAGAAACCTCCATATATTGATACTGTAGTGTCATTTTGTGTTTTCTCTTGCATTCTTCTACTGAGGTGATGACTTTGTCGATGAGGTGAGGATTCCCACGTTCCTAAGACAGAGTTTGTCGGCCCTGACTTGATCCCCGAATGGCCGAACCTAGAAGAAGCTAGCAAATAGCTGCCCATTAGATATTCGGATGATATCCCCATTGATCGTTGGTTAATCCCATATTATATATCATTTTATTATATCCCAACATTGATAGTTTGTGAATGTTTGTTGTTTATCCAGATGTTGCGGGGTTTTTCCCGAGAGGGACCTGTGATCATCGATCTGTGACCAAAAAGTGACCTTTGAAAACCGCTGAAAAGGAGACAGATCGCGCAACCTCTCGCCATGACCTCAGTTGGCTTCAATGCTATTTGAGATGATAATGCCAGTGGGCCAGTGGGCTATGATGATAGTTGAAGTTATTCGAAATGATAGATGTGTATAGATGTGTCATATCTGTACAAAAAGACACAGCCGCAAGCTAGCTAGCAAAATTTCAATCGTTTGTGTTACAAGTTGATAACATTTAAATAAACAATTAAAACTATTTTGAGAATAAACCATTTGATATATCTCAAAGGTAGTTTTTCAAAGGTAGTTTGATGGCTCAGGCCATGCACTCACCAGCCGCACAGTGACAGCAGAGGATGATGATGAACGGGGACCCAAGGGACGGACCGTTGAACGGGGACGGAGTCAGGTATTGAAACCCCGGTATGGGACCATCAGCTGCAAAAATGTCATAAAATGTCATAAAATGATATAATGTTATAATATATTATATATATATGTATATGTATATATAACTTACTTATCACTTATCAATATATACACAAACATGACAGAATATTACAGACTGATTTTAATTGTGACCAAACACTTTGTTGGTTGAGCCAAAAAATCTGACTAGTTCTTATGCAATGATTCCGCAAGGCATTTCAACTTAGCCTGAACTTGGAGGATGGCAAAGTCCGAACATTGCGCTTGACAGGATACGGCTTGGGAAGATTTGGGGCCATGGAGAGCACCAGAGACAGAGCCACAACAGGAAGATCCTGGTTCTGGCCTGAATTTCACCAGCGAAACAGATGCTTGAGGGCACTTGAAGGATCGTTTCACATCTTGCATTGATGTTGTTTGAGGTCCAGCAGACACCACGGTCACCGATGGGCCAAAGGAGACGACGGAAACAACCGAAACAGCAGTGAGCTCTAGCCTCGGTTGTGGTCTGAAAAGGTTTGGCCAAGTCGCGAAGTGGTGTGCCAACCCTGACACCTAATATGGACAGCCATTTCAGGCGCAAACCAAGATCCAGCAGATCCAGCAGATCCAGCAGTCCAGGAACAGGGTCCCTGGAGACCGTCAGAGACAGATCTGGAAAATGCAGGTGGGGATCTCGATTTCAGGAGCGTTCGCTCTGGACATTCATCAATTCAGTTGCTGATGGTCACCGCACAGATCCCTGGTATATCCCGGTCTTGTTCTGAGGTGAATTGGAGGCTCACGATCCTCAAGGTGATGCTTATAGTGTACACCTGAGCTCATGAAGCAGCCAACAAGCATCTCATAATATCTCATATCACTCCATGACCCTGACCATTTGATGTTGCTCGCGTCCTGCGTTGTCCTTGTTGCCTTTTTTGCTTTTCCTCGTGTGGCTTCAACTGGCAGTTTCCAAGGCGACGATTTTGCCGAGGACGGGGCAGGGTACAGCGGCCTGAGTCTCTGGGGCCTGGCTGGCAATGGTAACTTCCGGTAAAGCTCGATGATTTACCCATTTACCTCTTAAAGATGTTGATTTTCCACAGCCAACTGTTAATCCCTTCTCCCTATGACTAAACCCCCCAATAATAAAAACTAGGGCCCACTCCGATTTGGGAAAATTTCAGGTTGGCCAATTTGACACTTAATTGATCCCCTTTAGAAAACAAGTTAAAAATAAAGCTACTATTTGTGGGTTTCACCCCCTAATAATAAAAATTAGTCAATCCCAGGGTGTTTTTATTAGGATCCGTCCGAAATTTTTAGTTTTTTATATTAGTGTTTTTAATTTAATAGTAGGGGGAAGATTCGAAATCCAATTTTTGGCAATATTTTAATTGGGTTATAAAAGGAAAATGAACTGATTTTGAAATCGAGAAAAAAATGTATTATAAGGGCTTAAATTTATTATTAGGGTCCGCTTCGAAATCCAATTTTTGGCATGTTTGTTGATTCCGTGATAAAAGGAAATTTAATTTAGTTTGCTTTTTTAATTAAGGGTTTAACTTTATTCTTAGGGTCCGCTTCGAAATCCAATTTTTGGCAATATTTGAATTGCGTTTTAAAAGTAAATTTCATTGAATTTGAAAGCAAGAAAAACATGTTTTTATTAAGGGTTTAAATTTATTATTAGGGTCCGCTTTGGTTCCCTAATATTAAAACCACCCTAATAAAAACTACCTGAGGTGTTTACTATTTGGGGGGGCCCGTGTTTAGTATTAGATGTATTAGGGGGAGGGGATTCATATACCAATTGGCAAATACATAATAAGTGACCACCTGATACCCTCTGGTAAACTAACATAGCTATTGAAAATTGCAATTTATAGTAAGTTTTCCCATTAAGAATGGTGATTTTCCATAGCTATGTTAGTTTACCAGAGGGTATCACGTGTGGTCCCTTGAACCCTTGAGTTTCATGGTGTGTTTCCACTCCTGAAACGAAACAGGAGACAGACTACGAAGCCTCTCGCAGTGGCCTTGGCAACTTTTCCAGATCATCCCGCCCATGACCTTGATCGTACCTTTTAATTCACTGGAAAAAAAAGACCTAGACCTAAATGTTGGCACACGGATGGTGAGTGGATGTTTGGATGTTCAATATTGCTGGTATATTTAATTATTGTGTGTTGTTGCTGTCTTGAGTGAGGTCATATGCCCACCAGCCGCACTGCGACAACAGAGGACCAAGATGGACCAAGACTCTTTGTGCTTCTTTCAGCAGTTGAGAAACATGTTTTGCTTTGCGGAGCATGCTTTGAACATGGATAGCGGTATCATCTCCCCAAAAGGAACCCCTTAGGGGGTGGGGGTCGAAAATACAACTTCCAATAATAGTTGTTTCCCATATGTTTGGGCGAGTCCAAAGTGGAACAGCATTGACAGGATACGGCTTGGGAAGATTTGGGGCCATGGAGAGCACCAGAGACAGAGCCACAACAGGAAGATCCTGGTTCTGGCCTGAATTTCACCAGCGAAACAGATGCTTGAGGGCACTTGAAGGATCGTTTCACATCTTGCATTGATGTTGTTTGAGGTCCAGCAGACACCACGGTCACCGATGGGCCAAAGGAGACGACGGAAACAACCGAAACAGCAGTGAGCTCTAGCCTCGGTTGCGGTCTGAAAAGGTTTGGCCAAGTCGCGAAGTGGTGTGCCAACCCTGACACCTAATATGGACAGCCATTTCAGGCGCAAACCAAGATCCAGCAGATCCAGCGGATGCAGCAGATCCAGCAGTCCAGGAACAGGGTCCCTGGAGACCGTCAGAGACAGATCTGGACAATGCAGGTGGGGATCTCGAATTCAGGAGCGTTCGCTCTGGACATTGGTCAATTCAGTTGCTGATGGTCACCGCACAGATCCCTGAACAAAATTGGCATCAGTTTGCACTGATACTCTGTACAACATTGTAGAACAAGATAAACTGAATTCTACATGGTTTGCATTACATTGAGAATTTTACCCCCCTGACTCTAGAGTTGTTTTGTGGACAAGTTTGGGGAAACCTACAAGATTAGCTTGTGACAGCTGAACTCAAATTCAGGTCTATCCTTTCATGTAGTGCATGTTTTCTGTGTTTTGAAAGAACTGTCTCACATGTTGTTTGTTTCGCATTGTTTTGCTCTATTTTGTGAATGTACAGTGAATGTATAATGATTTATACATGTTTGATCATTTTTGTGATATGAAGTGACAAAAGGCATCCTGTAGGTCAGAAGCCTTCACGTGGATGTATGTCAACCATTTTTGTCAACGGAGGTCCAGCAGACACCACGGTCACCGATGGGCCAAAGGAGACGACGGAAACAACCGAAACAGCAGTGAGCTCTTGCCTCGGTTGTGGTCTGAAAATGTTTGGCCAAGTCGCGAAGTGTCAAAATTGGCATCCGTATAGTCATCCGAGGTGCAAATCTAGATCCTGCGGATCCAGTCTGCTGGGAGGAACAGGGTCCCTGGAGACAGCCAGAGGATACCAGTGTGGTCGATCCCGGTCAGAGGCTCAAGTCTGAAAGCTTTTCCGCAGAACCGGCATCAGGTATTATCCTACAATGTTTCCGCCTGATAGTTGTCATCGCAGTTACTTTTGTTTTGAACTAGAAGAATCAGTTGGACATGACCTGAGCAATTATGTTTCAAAATTGACATCAGCTTGCACTGATACTCTAGAACAAACTGAATACATTGAGAAGTTTACCCCCTGACTCTAGAGTTGTTTTGTGGACAAGTTTGGGGAAACCTACAGGATTAGCTTGTGACAGCTGAACTCAAATTCAGGTCTATCCTTTCATGTAGTGCATGTTTTCTGTGTTTTGAAAGAACTGTCTCACATGTTGTTTGTTTCGCATTGTTTTGCTCTATTTTGTGAATGTACAGTGAATGTATAATGATTTATACATGTTTGATCATTTTTGTGATATGAAGTGACAAAAGGCATCCTGTAGGTCAGAAGCCTTCACGTGGATGTATGTCAACCATTTCTGTCAACGGAGGTCCAGCAGACACCACGGTCACCGATGGGCCAAAGGAGACGACGGAAACAACCGAAACAGCAGTGAGCTCTTGCCTCGGTTGTGGTCTGAAAATGTTTGGCCAAGTCGCGAAGTGTCAAAATTGGCATCCATATAGTCATCCGAGGTGCAAATCTAGATCCTGCAGATCCAGTCAGACAGCCAGAGGATACCAGTGTGGTCGATCCGGGTCAGAGCCTTTTGTTGCAGCAGTTGGAGGTTGAAAGCACTAGTCCTCACTTCAATTGCAAAGCTTCTGATTGCCATCGCCTTTCACATTGGCCACATAGCATAGTGACATAAGTGGCTAACAATTTAATAGCACATGGCTTCTTATTATATGAGATACCGTCAAACTAAGCGTAGACTACTTTAGTAAGGGAGGGTCCAGTTGTGTCCAGAAAGTGCACCAAACCATGTAAAAGCGATAGGGCCCCCCGCAAAAAGCGAGAACTTGTAACCATATGAGAGTGCATTAAACTTGGTGTGAACCAAGAACATTTTGTTGTGCACCTTCAGGCGATGGGCAAAATTGATGAAGAAAATTCAACCTGCAGTGCCCACATTTCTTGCAGTGGCCATGTCATTGATGTCCAAGGTTTGTTTTTGCGAGCTTTGTAGTGCAAAGTAGTACTGGGACGTGCTTTGTGCAAGCTTTGTAGTACAAGGTAGTACTGGGAAGCCCTTTTTGCGAGCTTGGTAGTACAAAGTAGTACTGGAAAGTGCTTTGTGCAAGCTTTGTAGTACAAAGTAGTACTGGGACGTGCTTTGTGCAAGCTTCGTAGATCTTCGTAGTACAAAGTAGTACTGGGACGTGCTTTGTGGAAGCTTCGTAGTACAAAGTAGTCGAAGGAAGTTTAGAAGTCAAACTTCCGACAATATTGACAGATAAAAAGCAGAGATGGGAAGAGTCAGAGAGAAGAGAAGAGTAGAAGAGAGAAGATCAGAGAAGAGAAAGAGTCGAGTCAGAAGAAAGAAGATGCAGATGCGCGAAAAGGTCGGAAAGTCGCGAAACACTATGATTTCCAATGATTTGTGGCTCCGGAGGGTCGAAAAGTAGGCTCGCTAAAGCGGCGGGTGCGGAGCCATCTGGCCAGATGAGAGATGAAAAATGGCACGCCGTTGTGGCGCGAAGCACATTTCGAAGTCAAAATGTACAAAACACACCAGCTCCGGACCACTTTTGGAAGTTGAGATGTCAAAAAAGTGCACGCCGTTGTGGCGCGAAGCACATTTCGAAGTCAAAATGTACAAAACACACCAGCTTCGGACCACTTTTAGAAGTTGCAAGTCGAAAAAGTGCACGCCGTTGTCGCGCGAAGCACATTTCCAAGTCAAAATGTTAAAAACATTTAAAAACACTAGGGGTTCGGACCACTTTTGAAGTTCAGATGTCGTTTCGCCTGGCAGGCGCAAGGGATTGTGCACCTTGTCAAAAGTGAGCAAAATGTGAGGGTTTTGTCGGTTTCAACTACAACCACCACTACACCAAACTACACTCCAATACACTACACTACTACACTACAACTACACCTTCACTGCATTCCACTACACTACACTCAATTACTCTCAATTACACTCAATTACACAACACTACGCTACATTACACTACACTACACTCAAATTCACTACACTACACTACATTACCCTACACTACCTTCCACTACATTACACTACACTCCACTACACTACAACTACAACTACACAACTACACTCCACTACACGCCACTACACTAAATTACACTACACTACTATACACTACACTACACTACCTTCCACTACACTACATTCCACTATACTACACTCCACTACACTACAGCTACACCTACACAACTACACTCCACTACACTAAATTACACTACACTACATTACATTACACTACACTACACTACCTTCCACTACACTACATTACACTACACTACAACTACAACTACAACTACACAACTACATTCCACTACACTCCACTACACTAAATTACACTACATTACACTACACTACACTACATTCCACTACACTCCACTACACTACATTGCACTGCACTACATTCCACTACACTACACTACATTCCACTACACTACACTACACTAACTACAACTACAACTACAGCTACAACTACAATACTACCACTACACTAGACTCCACTACATAAAACTACACTAATTACACTACACTACACTAGACTCCACTACACTACACTACACTGAATGACACTGCACCGCAGATAGACAGGTAGACAGATAGACAGATAGGTAGAAAGATAGACGGATCGACGGGTAGACAGATAGACAGATAGACAGACAGACAGATAGATAGATAGGTAATTAGATGAAGGAGAGAGAGAAAGAGAGAGAGAGAGAGAGACAGAGAGAGAGAGAGAGATAGAGAGAGAGAGAGATCGATCGATCGATCGATAGATAGATAGATAGATAGATAGATCGATCGATAGATAGATAGATAGATACATAGATAGGTAGGTAGGTAGGCAGGTAGGTAGGTAGGTAGTCAGAGAAAGAGAGAAAGCGAGGAGACCTCAAGCACCTTTCGGTCCATCAGTGGATTCGCTCTGCCATCCGTGATTCACAACAACCAATCTCTCCTATAGGTTTCCTATTTTTGCAACTTCCGCCACCGCCTTGTGCGGTACTACTGGTACTGGGAAAAGCATTGTGCAAGCTTTGTAGTACAAAGTAGTACTGGGGAGTACTTTGTGCAAGCTTTGTAATACAAAGTAGTACAGGGACGTGCTTTGTGCAAGCTTTGTAGTACAAAGTAGTACTGGGACATGCTTTTTGCAAGCTTTGTAGTACATAGTACAAAGCAGTACTGGGGAGAACTTTGTGCAAGCTTTGTAGTACAAAGTCGTACTGGTAAGTACTTTGTGCAAGCTTTGTAGTACAAAGTAGTACTGGGACATGCTTTGTGCAAGCTTTGTAGTACAAAGTAGTACCAGAGAGAACTTTGCGCAAGCTTTGTAGTACAAAGTAGTATTGGTAAGCCCTTTGTGCAAGGTTTGTAGTACAAAGTAGTACTGTGACATGCTTTGTGCAAGCTTTGTAGTGCAAAGGAGTACTGGGAGGTGCTTTGTGCAAGCTTTGTAGCACAAAGTAGTACTGGGAAGTGCTGTGTGCAAGCTTTGTATACAAAGTAGTACTGGGGCGTACTTTGTGCAAGCTTTGTAGTACATAGTAGTACTGGGAAGTGTTTTGCGCAAGCTTTGTAGTACATAGTAGTACTGGGAAGTGCTTTGTGCAAGCTTTGTAGTTCAAAGTATTTGTAAAGGCTTTTCTGTGTAAATGCATCTGTGTCTCAAGCTTATGTGCACCAAAAATTCTGCACCCAACGGTTTTTTGTGCAAGAGACTTCTCTCTGACAGTCAGAGCTTTCTGGTGTGCAGAACAGCCGAGATGAGTTGAGAGTTGATCAGTGCTCGGATGAGATGAAAACAGTTGAGAAGAACTTGTCTAGAAGACATGTGAGAAGAGATGGGATGAGATGAGATGAGGTGAAATGAGGTGAGAAGAGCTCACATGATTTGAGATGAGATGAAGTGTGGAGTATGAAGTGCCAGTGTGAAGTGTGAAGTGCGGGGTGTGAAGAGTGCAGTGTGAGGTGAGAAGAAAGTGTTTGCTTGGCGTTGCATGGGACCAGGGTCGCGCACAGGTCATGTTCTTGGGCAACAAGCGTGCAACAGGTTCGCACGAAGCACGCACAGGCCTGGATGGCGCACGGCGCATGCAATTTCTATAGATGAGAAAAAAAAATACTTACAGTATAACCCTAAGGCAACTTCCGCCCCGCCTCGTGCGGGTACTACTTGTGGAATTACTGATCTCATTTTGGTTGCTGTCATTCTAGTTTGGTACTACTGGCGGAACTATTGATCTTATATTGGTTGCTGTCATTCTAGTTTGGAATTGAAATTGTAATAAGGAAAGAGTCTAGGAATGTGCTCAGGTAGCTCCCCAACATGGTTGCAAACGCAAAGACAACCAGCGCCCTGAATCCATACCCGGCAATTTAGAGATCTGAATCCGTGAAGCCAATTCCGCTGCATTTATGCATTATTTAGTGTTGATTTGAATAAAACACTGTAAAGCGATAGGGCCCCAAAAAAAAACGATAACCAATATTTTCGTACCAAGAATCAACAATTGATTTTGACGGCGGCTCATATGGTATAATTAAGGATCCCTAAGGAATGAACATCGATTGGTCCTGAGGCATTTTCAAGGCCACGATTTTCGTATGAAGAAAAAACCCACTCAGAGAAGCGCGTAGCCGAGGCCCTGCGCAGACTACAACGACCACCGGAGCCACCGGAGCCACCGAGACCGAGCACGGTGAAAAGCTCAGACCCAGGGGCTGCTTGGATTCTGGACATGGTTTGGATTCCGGTTGGATCATCGCCCAGATCATCCAGGCATCCAGGTATATCCATGGTGCTGGTAGATTTGCCCAAGACAGCTACCTCAATAATCATAAAACTTGTAGGTAAATGGGTCAAGAGTGGATAATGGATGATCATGCTAACTTGTTGACCGAGTTGAACGATTACTAAATACCTGGCGGCCCTTATTGGATTTTATTGGGATGTAGCTGTAGAGAAAGGTGTCAAGACGGGATGAGAACATGTCGATGTGAGTACTATATGAATACTGCCGTCAGACATATTGTATTTATATTCTTCATAAATCACGGAGTGGTTTAAGTCTAAGTTAAATTCCCACCATATATGGATCAAAATACATCAAAATTGCATAATGGCTTTGACCACTTTTTTGGGTTCAGCTGGCCGCCCCAGTGACCAGGCGCTGACCACAAATCTGTTCCATCCGGATCACCAGAGATCCAGTTCACAGGGTTTTTTCGCATGCATCTAATTTTGTGACTACCTGCTGGCAAGAATTTGCAGGATATCTTGATATTTATATTATATAATCATATATATATAATAATATAATTATATAATTATATCATTATATAACTATATTATTATATTATTGTATTATATTATATATGTATCATATGTGTATATATATACATTATGTGGGTTTGTCTGAAAATCGGATACCCCAAAAACTTACATGGTTCCGCCATGGCCAAGTGAGGCGCTCAGCACTTCTCCACGGCCGATGTCGAGCCGGACAGCAGGGTCGCCCAGTGACCATAGAAAACTTGTTCGACTCTTGGCTAGCGGCTAGTGCAGGAATACATAGGAATACATGTCCATTTTTTTTTGGTGGTCATTGCAGTTGTTGTTGTGCCCGCGGTTTTTCTAGAATCGCGCTGATTGCGCTGGTTGATTGATTTATCCAGCAAGAAAACCACTGGCGCTTTTTCTGGGTGGCTGTTCCATGTCGCAGCTGCCGTGTCTGTCATGCTGCAGGCCCAGCCGAAGAGGCTAAAGAGGCTGACAGTTGTGGGATGATCCAGGGGATGGCGATGATAACGATGATGGCGATGATGAAGACTGTTGATTGTTGATTGCCTAGTATTTCGACTGGCATTCCCATGATTTTCCACACGTTTTGGATGTTTTTGATTGTTGTTTGTTTGTTTTTGGTTGTTGATTGCTCATGATGATGGTTGTTGATTGCTGGTTGTTGATGAGGAGGAGGATGTTGATGATGCTGCTACTGTTGGTGGTGGGTGTCTAGGTGTTTTAGACGTTTAGCCGATCAGCTTTTCAGGTGGTGTGCGCGAGTCAACACATGTTTCAATGTTTTGGTATCTAACCGCCTTCGGCGTGTTCTGCCGGCCACCATGGAAAGAGCTATCCTGTAGGCTGCAAACAGCCCATGCACAGGCCCAGCAAGAACATGGTTTTTGTGTAAAACATTGTGTTTGTGGATAACACAGTTTTGTGTAAAACAGCTCTTTTTTTGGAGATGGTTTGGACGCAAAAACATTGGTTTTGTTCAAACCACGGTTTAAGTTTAAACCAACACATGTGTGTAAACCAGGGTTTTGAAAAAGGCCACAGGGGAAACGGGTTGGGAAAAGGCCATATTTAGAAAGCTTAAACTTATACGTGTAAAAGGTGTTCGGAGCAAAAACCAGTGGATCAAGTATTGGATATAAGAAGCGACGGAGCAAACCGATGGCAAACACAACAAAAAATGGAAACAACCATCGAAATGACAGCAAGATGTGCAAAACCTAGCCGGTGTTGAACGAGGCGTGGGCAGAGTCGAGCCCACCACAACGTAAGGAAAGATCAAGACTCCGTGCCAAGGGGAAAGTCTAGACAAGACAAAGACAAAACAGACAGTACAACTACGAACAAACAAGATCCACAAGACACGCCGCATGCCGGAAGGCCGGCGGATTTTTGGTTGCATTCATGTCAAATCATCGAATGTATTTAAAACAATCTACATGCAACAGATGCAATGAGATGTCGTGTTGCGCCATAGTTATGGACATTTCCCATGTTCAGTAGCTATGCTGTAAATTATCGAAGACGGGCCATGTTCAGTAGCTATGCTGTAGGTTCCCATGTTTTTTTTTGCGATCCAGGAGCTGAACATGACTCTGCAGCAAAAGCGCTTGAGGCGCGACGAGTCATTCGAAGAAGCTCAGAAAAAATAGATGTGTAATGATGTGCATATATGATTATATATACATTCATAGATGTATCTACATGTACATGTATCTACATGTGTGTATATGCACACGTAACGTGATGTGATGTGATTTGGTGTGATGTGATGTGATGTGACGTATGCATGCATACATCATAAGTATATGTATACATTGCATTGCATGCGTGATTATTTACATTATTTGTTGATTTACCTTCCTATTATTACCTATTATTACTCCAAACCTTGTTCACTGAAGTGATCATACAAAAGTGGTGGTGGCAGGTTTGAAGGAAGGTCTCAAACCGTGAAAGTCTCCAAAAAGGCGTGGCAGTGCAGTGTTTGAGCGGACGCGACTGTGCATTTTTTGCAGGAAGCTGTGTATGCGCAAGGAATTCAATTTCATTTGGATCCCTAGTGTGTATGGTATCAGGCTTCGGACGTTTCAAAGTACGAATGTGATTCAAGAACTGTGCGATTTTGACGAAATTTTAGGGTACATCCCAACTTATGGAGGTGATTACCCTGGTCATACCCTTGACAGGTCAAGAAAAAGGCTCATCCGGAGGCCCCAGATGAAGTGGGTTGGTCTGAAACTGAAAACCTCCTAAGCCTACTGGTTCATCATCATTTTCCCCATTAAAGTGGCCATATATTATGAGTTCATTATTATCCTCCCTGTTCCCAAAAATCAGATTATACTGTATAACATTTTTTATATACGCAGTATATTCCCATAACATATTCACACAAATTACCCTGCTTGGTTTTTTGTTAGTGTGGCAGGGAGATGGGTGATTACATCTTCCGTTCTCAGCTGGAAAATCTCCTTACAGGCCACTCGATTCTTGGAGAACCTTCGAGAGATGGGAGGCCAGGCGGAGAACGGCAGAACTCGAATGACTCGAATGGCTAGAGGTACGACGACGTCACCAAATATCATGTAATATCATGTATCTAGAGAGATGGACAGATAGATACAGTTGTATCTTAAGATAACAATATACAACAATCATAGGCGTCAAATACATTCAACTACACCCTTCTTGAACCTTCAGCCAGTGAAAATTGCTCGAAATCCAGGCGCGCCACTCTGCCAACATGGTCCATCCTTGTGTCGTTCACCATCGACACCCCGCGAAATCATGTTTGTCAGTTCAGTATCCCATTGTAAAACCCATTACACATCCCATAATAAACATTATATATATATATCATTATATTAAAAGCCATTCAAACTTGTATATCCCTTCCATTCAAATTTCATGATACCATTATTAACCCCATTATAAACACCATATCCCTATATAATGTCAACCCCGGATTAATAAACCATGGTTTATTAATTAGGGGGTACCCTCCAAATAGTCTCAATATGGTACATAAATGGTATCCTCCCAATTAAACAGACGTTTGGGGTTTATTAATCCAGGATAGACATTATATGGGGATATGTTTTTTTTCACCATGCTATAAGAATTATGTCCCTATTATTAACCCTATTGTTATATCATGGTTAACCCTATATCATGGTTATGTCCCATTATTATCCCTATGATATAACAATTATGTCCCTATATCATGTCCCTATTATTTAACCCTATATAAATTGTTATATCATGGTTAAATATATATCATGGTTAATTATTAACCCTCTATATATATATATATATGGTGAAATCCCCATGTTTTAACCATAATATTTATGTCCCTATTATTAACCATGATATAACAATTATGTCCCTACTATTAATCATATATATATATATGTCCCTATTGTTCGTTGGTGAAATCCCCGAAAATTTTCCACCCGCTTTTGACGAACAAGTCAAGGTGGATCCGCCGGAGTCGCATGGCGGCGGCTCTTTGACAACGACGTCACGTGGCCCACGGAAAACCCTGGGCTCCAGAGGTAACACTCTGGTCATTTCACCGGTGTTTTTTTATGTGTTTTCCTATGGAAAATGGAACATTTCAGCATTTAGTTCGATTTTTGTTTTTTTCGGAAAATGGACCATTTAGTTCGATGATTGAATGATTTAGCTATTGAATTATTGAATGTTGGTGATGTTCAATAGCGTTAGATATGCTTAAATTACCAGAGGTGGATATATCCAAAATACCATGGGATCTTAATATGCGTTGCCAACATGAGGGTTATTTTGGGGCAATTGAATGTAATTGGTAGGAAAAACAATCCACACATGTGAAAGCACAATCTGCCACTCAAAGGATCGATTGTTGGCTTGGCCTATTGCTTTTGAAGATTTAGGCCCTCCACTTTTGTGGAGGGACCGAATCGAAAAAAAAACACATCGTGTCGGTTTTTTGCCCAAGTTTCTTTTAGTACCTCCTAAACTCTTCTAAACCTGTGTTATTTGATGGATACCCATGGGATGGGCATGATCATCGCAACTTGCCGCATTTTGCCACCCTGGAGAAGCCGATTTCCAGTGCCTCTAGAGGTTTCCTAAGTCATGGGGGTACCCCCAAATCATCCATTTTATTTTCGGATGCTCCATTATAACTATAACCCATCCAATCATCCAGCTATTGGGTTATTTTCCACTATAAACCCATCCAGCTATGGCAGGAAAAGCAATCTAAATCATCCACGTTAATCCATTTAATGATCTTCCATGGTAAACCATCCATTTTTGATCATTTTTGGGGTATCCCCCATTTTGCAGGAAACCCCCCACATCATGATCTCAGGAAGTGAAGTTTGACGACTTCTGCGGTGCTCTGGTGACCCTCCACTTCTCAGGCCGCTGATGGTTGGAAAAGCTGGTGAAGCGTGCGAGGTTTTTCGGAAAACATGGGAAAACGCATGGGAAAATGAATGGAAAATGATGATTGATCACTGGAAATCACTTGATTTAGGATGATTTAGTATTTTTTTGTGTCCTAAATCTTTAAGAAACGCATATCATGAAGGGATAGGCATGATTAGGGATGGTCGAATCGAAATTCGGCGTCGCCAGCAGCGACGGTAGGAGACGTGATTCGACTCTGGCATGAGCTTGCTGGACCTTCCACACCCAACTTGAAGTTTGAGGCAGATGAATGGGATGGAGTGGAAAATGGAACAATAGGAGCAGTAAAGATATGATGCAAAGGGCGGAAAGGTACTTCAATCAGTATCAGTATCAGTGATATAGGTGTGAAACTGGTGTGAAAGTGGGGTACCCCTGAATCCAACGGATCTCATTGCAGCATCCCCATTAGAATGGTCATTCGGAGGGCATACCTATGCATACCTCATTTTCAGACAAGTCCATATTTCGAATTCCGCAGTCTAGTGGTGTGCTGTTCTAATGCCTTGAGAACTTGAGCTTTGTGTTTAGATTTTAGGATGAATTGTCCCCTTGTGGACACATCAGTGTCTAGACAGTAATAGCTGCTACTTCCAGCCTGTCGCAGTTGCAGGCTGGGAAAATCCGGGAAGAAACCAGGCTGAGTAGTAGCTGTTGGTTACCCCTCCTGGTTGATGTTTTTTGCTAACCAGTACATTGGGGAATATCACCAGCTATGTGAGAAATATTCTGTTCATTGATTTTGCTCTTACCATATGTTACCTCTTGGTTTTTCAACTCAACCGTCGTGAAAATCCAGTCAGCTTCGATCGCAGGCAGTTGATAGAGATAGTGCTGCTATCCTCAAAGCCTTCAAGGTGTCGTCAATGGCACCTTGCAAAGACATGATGAATCAGGGGACGAACATCCAGTACTCGTCGCTGTTGAAGTGTAGCAGCTTACCAAGAGAACAAGAGAAGTTTTCAACACCCATGTTGCTTGGCCACAATCGGAAGTGATACTTTCCACTATACTTGGGGCCATTATGGTATGGAACGCTGCTCACATGGACAGGCATGGTGTACCCTGGTGAAGAACGGAACATTGGAGGTCCGTGCACCGTGCATCCCCTTGGGTGAATTCACCATGACCTCGAGCCTCGAGCCATGACGTCACCATGACGTCACCACCGATCCCCGGAAAGAATCAACGCTTAAGCTTGCTATGCACAATTAGCAATGGGTCAAGAAGTGTCAAGGGGATGAAGTCCACAAAATAGTCAGCGGTTTTGGATGGTTCAATCTAAAAAATCTCCCCCAAGGGCTGGATGGGTAAATCTTAAAGACTGACGACTATTTGGTGAGTCAGAAACCCCCTTAAAGAAGGCCAATTGATGATATGTTCCATTTAAACCTATCATATAAATTCTTGTGATTGATGGTTAAATTCTAACGATTGAAGTATATATTTTGTGGGTCAATCCCCCCAAAATTGTAAACTGGAGAGAATTGCCACTATACCCATGAAAACTCCATAGGGTTGATGGTGGAATCCCTACTGTCTGGTGCATATATATATATATATATTCATATTTATATTTATATGTATTTATAACCTAACTATTGAAGACTGAAACAAATCTGACATTCCCATATGTGCTATGGTCAAAAAGTTGGATACCCATACTGGGAGATGGTCATCAGTCCATTCATAAGTCTGTATTTACCCATGATGCCTGCATTTCCACTGTGGGGCGGATGGTCATAAACCGTCTACCATGTTTCGACCGTATCACACATATCTATATCTATATATATATATATAATGCAACTATTAAAAACTGAAACTCACCCCAATAAATGGAGGTTTCCTAAAATGCAGGTACCCCAAATCATCCAGTCGTCATGGATGAGAATTTTGAGTCCTTGAAACAACCATGGTGACGACTGGGTATCTCCCGTGACTTCAGAAACCCCCATTCATGGATCAATCTCCCCTCTATATTCATGTATATATATATATATATTATATATACATATATAAAACCCAACCATAGAAAACTGAAGCTATCCCCAACAAATCTTACATTCCTACATATATATATATACAATTATATATATACAATTATATATATATACAATTATATATATATATACAATTATATATATATATACATACATAAATAACATTAGTTAACCCAAGTATTGAAAGCTGAAACTCTCCCCCAATGACATTCCCAAGAACTGGGTGCCATGACTTGACCAAAACGAAGCGACGAAGCACCAGGTTTTTCGAGCCATCGACCAGGCCTGTGAGGGCAGTGATTCCTTGACGTCGCCTGGAGCGAAGCGATGGGATCAGGGGATGATTGTACATGTATAATGATATATATATATATACACATAGTACACTATATACTATATGTACTGTACTTGTATCTAGCACAATACAATATATTTCATAGTTTTAATTATGTATATACCGTAGAATAAAGGGGTCACTTGATATAAAGGGCTCACTTGATACATGTCTGCATGGCCAATGAATATAGCGGTAGTGTTTTAAATAGGTATGTTATGTTGGCTACCAAACTGCGGCTGTTACCCATAAAACATCTCTGTGTGTGTGTCATCTAAAAAAATGCAGCTACGAGTTGGGTTTGTCCAGATACTTAAGTTGGTTTATCACTAGGCTAATTATGTTGGTTCATGGTATATCATGGTATATCATGGTATATCTATACTTAATGTTGTTTATAAAGCAAGAAAAATAAGTGAATAGGACGTATACTTGATGCGGTTTATACATGTTTATACACCAACAATTCTAGCATTAACACCACCTGGTACGGTTCCAAACATTCCGACAATTCGTCCGATCCCCCGGGGCTTGGGCACCGAGGTCTGAGAAGTTCGTGGATGGCTTACAAAACCTGGGATTTTTCCGTCCATCAGCCACTCTGTTGAAGGCCAGGTGAAAACGCTGGGAAAAGCTGGTGGGCTCTATCTTGAAACAATGTGATCAGATAGAGATTCAGCAGTGAAATGGGTTTTGTTATAGGTCTTTGTTGTATGGTGATGGTACCGTGGCTAGCGTTCAACTTTTGATCCAATGATCATTGCGTGCACAGACATTCCGTGACAATTCAAATAACATGTTTGTTGAAGACAGGACATAGCCATATTATTGAGGCATCATATGATTTTATATGTATGTATATAATACGTAAACATACAACTATATATATATACATATTGTATCTTTACATGGTTTGCCTACATTTGGATGATTATGTTTGTGTGGGTGAATGATAGCATGCCGGGACATTGCCAGACGTGCCAGGATGACATCTGGCGGAAATTGGACACGCGGGACTGCTGGGAGTCGATTTTTGGGATTTCCCAAAAGTTTGAGACACACCCAGGTGCTGTCAGGTCTTTACTTTGGCTTACGCAGTTGCTACAGGATGTTGAAGCGGAAGCGCACTTGAATTGGATTTGGTAACACCTGCTAAAGAACTGTCTACTTAGACCAACTCTTTGGGAATGATCCTATGATTGTGGCATCAGTTGCTGTCAGTTTCACCTCTTGTGGATGAGTATTCGTTCCATTTTGAGCCTTTCATCTTTGAGGGTAACTCGCCATGGAGCATTTTCAAAGCCACAGCAACCATAGATTCCTCTCGAAATTCCACGCTGATCTTCAACTTCACTAAAAATCCGGCCCGCAAATGTGGAATCTCCAGCCAGCCCAATTCTTCACAGAATCTGCCATTTGTCTTTGTGTTTTTCCCAGGTGTTCCCAGTTTTTTTCTCCCATGACGCAGGAAGCTGTGCTGCAGAACTTGTGGCCCATGTTGGACCAGCATTGCCGCGGCTGCATCACCACGGACTCCCTCCTGTTCTTGGAGAAGGATGGGATCCATGGGGGCCTAAAACCTCAACTGGTGTACACCAGGAGATACACAAAGGGTAAAGTCAAGGCCAAAAAACAACTCTTGTGGCCCAAGAAACAGATGTTTTACTATGTTTTACTGGTCATGTGATAAGCTAGTTACAGCTAGTTTTCATGGATTCTTTGGCCTCAGATGCTCGTCATTGCTTCAGGATCCACAAAAGCGAGCCTCCGTGCTCCGAGAGAGGACCAGGTCGGACCGCCAGGTGACAAAGTTGACAGCCAAAAGTGTCCAATTCATATTTCTGCTTAACCCTCAAAATTCCCCATATACATGTATATATATAACTATACGTATGTCTATATAATATACCATATTATATATATATATATATTATATACGTATGTCACACATTGACTAATCATAGAAATCGCTAATTCTCAAAAAAAAATGATCGTCATTTGCGATCCGCTTGGCCTCCGCCAGGCGTCGAATGAAGAGACGTCCACCCGAGGCAGCGTGGTAGATCCTGCAGACTCTGCTTTTGATCACGATTCATTGCAGACCGTATGTATGTATGTCTGTCTGTCTGGCTGTCTGTCTGTCTGTCTGTCTGTGTGTATGTCTGTATGTATGTCTGTCTGTCTGTCTGTCTGTCTGTGTGTATGTCTGTATGTATGTCTGTCTGTCTGTCTGTATGTATGTAAGTATGTATGTATGTATGTATGTCTGTATGTATGTATGTCTGTATGTCTGTATGTGTGTATGTGTGTATGTGTGTATGTGTGTATGTATGTATGTATGTATGTATGTATGTAAATACATATATATATACACTAATATATGGTAATTTAATGTACATGTATATGCATATATATATATATGAGAATCTATGGTCGCATATATATATATATATTTACATATATATATATTATGTTTCTTATCATGAGGAATCAACATGATCATGTCAAGAGTCATGCGGTCATCATTACTCATTGTCTTGAGGTTTCCTGATGGTAACCCCCCAGGTCACCCATCTTTGATTCGCAGGCGCACAAGAGCGAGAAGATCATTCACAAGCTGGTCATGGAGACCACAGCCATGGGCAACAAACATTGGTCACAAATTCCCGAGGGACATGTGGCAGTGGCCCCTTGGCGTTTTTGCATCGCAAGATGTTGGGCGCAAGTCGGCGCAAGTTGTTGATGGGTTTTCCCATATGTTCCACTTTTCTATCTATGTCTGGTGGTTACCATTGTAAATGAAGGAAGCTTTTCTATGGTGTGACATCAGTGCGTGATAAATCAGGCGGAAATGATTCCTGAACTTGTCCCTGCAGACGTGGCTAATAGTTTGTCAAGCGAAACTTGCAGCTTCTCTCCTTACGGATAGAATAACCGTCACATGTCATGTGCAGAACTCAATCATACTAAATCCATCTATATAATTCAATCAAAATTCTATGATATTTGAGTTTGTCTGAGTTCCTACAAGTACAAGAAGACATGCATCCAGTGTCATTGATGGCATGTGGAGCGATGGCATTTTGTCTAAGGGGCGACCCCGCAGTGGCCCAGTGCTACCGAAGGTGGGTATGGTTGAAAGCCATGGGGGATCCCCTGGATGATCGACCGGACTTTGGACACTTCCATTGATATAGTTGTTCTTTGACTTTTCCAAGGACAATGAATGGTTTTACCATGGTTGTTACCCTTTTGGTTTTTTGGTATTTTCCATGTGCATCATTTGAGGTAACTGCAAGAGTTCATGACGATGATCAACACGTCACCAGTTCGTCAGGTGAAGCGTCCGATTCCACGCGCGGTGTCAGCCCCGGTGGCCAAGCAGCGAAGATTCAGGGCTTGATGTCCTGCTTGAAATGGGGATCTATATAATATCTATACCAAGGCATGGCAAATTTTCAAGAACTTATAGAGTGAATGGGGTAGATAGGATAGACATTGTTATGGAATCTTATGAACTTGAAAGCTCATGCGAAAAGTTTGGAAGTGATGTGGGCATCCGCCAAAGAGCGCACAAGAGTCAGCATTGCGAGAGTTCTGCAAAATTTGTTTTTTTTGTCAGAACAAACACGGTTAGCAGCAAAATTCGAGCATCTGTCCGCAAAAGCTGTGTGAAAGCAAACATCGAATAAACTGTCTTCAAAAGACAAACGTGGGGTTGCGTAAGTACCACCAAAGCATTGGAGTAAGCCACTTTAAGTTTGTTAGGGGTTTGTAACAGGGTTCTCAACATCGTAGACTTGGAATGACTTTGGTATTGGGGACTTTACGGTTTATAGTTTATAGCCATGTAAACTACAGGGTACAAGAGGGTGCGTAGTTCGGAAATGTCTGATTTTTTGAGAAGTGATGCAAGTGTTAACAGAGTAAAGTTGGGATATGTTTTCATGTTGAAATATGTTGAAACAGAAACAGGTGCAAGATGGTGGAAGATATGTCATATTTGTTGACATACAATGACTCAACTAGGTCGTTTCCATGGCAATCAATCCAGAAAGATGAATGTCATATCTAACAAATGACTAAACTAGTACTAAACTTCTAGTTATTTATATATATATCCTAAGTATAGAAATTGCTCAACTAGTACATATGGCAATTTCTATATCTGGAAATTTAGCATAACTAGTACTATATCTAAACTGCTGCTAGTTGCCATTTGGGTTGAACAGCCAGGTCTCTGGAGGAGTTGGTGTTTTATCCTGTATGTTTTACATGTCGGAATATGGAAATGACATGATTTTCATGGATTTTCCAGTACATACCCTCTGGTAAACTAACATAACTATGGAAAATCACAATTTTTAATAGGTAAACCATCTATAAATGGGCCATTTTCAATAGCTACGTTAAATTACCAGAGGGTATATTTTAATGCATTCTATGTAATTAATTATATTATTTGTAATAACTTGTAATATCAATGTGATGATCATTTTCTGGCACTTTGTCACGAAATATGCTGTTTCTGACTGCCAGTGGACGGTGGTACTGCTCCTCTTGGCTGAAGGAGATCGGCAGTGATCTGAAGTTTCTAGAGGACCAGGACGGGACTCCGGCACGGTTGGGACTGATATTTTTTGATGTTGGCTACTGGTAGTGTCTCTAATAAGGGACTTTGCGACTTTACGGTTCCTGGGAGATTTCTATTTTTTTTTATTGGATAGTTGTTTGGGAATTGTTGGATAGAAGATGGGTTTGTCTTGAAAATAGGCTACACCCCTGATTCAAATTAATGATTATCAAGATCCCCATATGTCATCATATGTCAATGGTCATTTAGATACGGTTTTTTCCTCATTGAAAACCGTCCTGCTGCGGATTGATTTTTAGGATGACCTCCTTGCCGCGAAAGCACTGGCTGAAGCAGCAACTCCATCAGCCCTCGATGAGGCGACGTCTCTGTGGCTGTTGGCTTGTTCCTTACTGTAGCAACCAGCATGATGTTGTATATGTACGTATGTGACACAGTATGACACAGTATGACTATGTATATACATTATCATTAAATTATAGAAATACAAGAAACATATGTAAAGCGGATCAGTTTGGCATGGGCCGGCTCTGCCTAGTCCTGGCAGGTTGAAGAAGGCTCCACCACTTCAGGAAATCGTCACTTGCCTGTTCGATTTCTTCAATGGAGGGTGAATTTCGGAATAAGAGTTGAAAGATGTTGAAAGTTTCCCTGTTTTTAGTTGCTGATACAGGGAAAATATATAGGAAAATCATAAATATCTCCACTTTCAAACATGTTCGAAGCAGTGTTAGAAGATGGTTGTAACGCTTCTTGATGATTCTTGATGGCTCCAAGTGCATTTTGCTTATGTTCCGGATTTCCAGGTTGAGATGAACTCTGCAAAACCATAGAAAGCGAATGAAGTCTGGCCTGTAAAGATTCTCAAAGGGGAAGTCCTTGACATCGAAATCGAAATTGCCTAGGCCCAGTGGGTCCTGTCGGCTCCTCATCGGGGGCGGTTCCGGCCAGTAAACAGCATGGGTGTTACTCTTAAGTATTTGATGTTCTTGTCCAACCCTACACTTGGGATTGATAATTACGATCCACTAGTTTTCTTTGGGCATGCTTTCAAATTTGAAGCCACCAGCCAGTTTTGAAGTAATTAGTTTGGTTGACTCTAAAGATGGATCCTGTTGAAGTAATTCTGCAGACCTAGCAGCTTCCACTGAAGCTTCAGTGTAGCTTGTGGATCGCTTGTCTGACTGATTCCGCTGGTTAGAAATGTGCTAGCAGCCAAGCCTTACGACCGCTTTCCCATGTTCAATTGTTTTTTCAGTTTTTTTGGACGGCCTAACCACAAGCCATCTATGAGCCCAGTTGTAGTGTTTGCAATTGGATGCAATTGGCAAGCTGCCACATATGAGTATACCCTTTAGATCCATTTCGGTAATCCAACATGGTTGGCTGCAAAATATGTACCCTCATGTAATTCATTTTAGTTGGAGGTTTTTCCCATCTTATGTAGATGTGCATTTACAGCAGAATCCCATGGCAGCCGAAGACAAAGTCTTACTTGGGAAAATTTGAGTCAGTAAATGTGCATCACCCCACTGCCCTTCACGATGTAAGGACTGGCCTCCTGCATTGCTGAAGGAAGAGAGGCAGACGGCAGAAGTTTCTGGAAGACACTTTGTAAAATTGACCTTCTCAAGAAAATGGCCATATAATGCCATATCTGAATATGTACTCTATAGATAAATAATCTACACATGCATAATTTAGTACTGAAAGCATCGCCAGTTAGTATGGTGTTATATCATGTTATATCCTGCCGTAGTAGGCTTATAATAACGTATGATTATATCTGGTTTTTTACAGTGTATACATATTTATATATATATATATTATATATATATATATATCCTATTTAGAATTGTTGTATATCCTAATGAAAATCCCATGTTAGAGACTTATGACTCCAACTTATCGTATCCATGGTAAGTTACGTTAATACCTTGCATATGTACAGCATGTTACACTTACTTCATATCGCCATCGATCTTCGCCGTGGACGCTGCAGGAAGGCCCCGAAGGCCTTATTGGCGCCCAGCTATCGCCGAGCTTATTGTGGAAGCAGCAAGCTTGGAGCATGATATGTGGAGGTGATTTTATGTTGTGTTTGTATGTAATCATATGTCCATACAATTATACATTCAAGTATTGTAGTACATATGTATATATATATACAGTATATATATATGTGTGTGTATGGAAAAAATACACACATACATGTATGTGTGTGTCACGTTCTTCGCTGAGGTTTGGTGCCGTTGCCCAGCCTCCGCAAGGCAACGTTTCGAGCTTCAGAATGATATGTGTGGATGATGTATTCACAAGGTTCTTTTATAAACTGGTGTATATATATATTTTATTTATTTATTTATACTATACTTGTTATACTTATAATATATATATATACATTATACATACATGCATGCATGCATGCATCCATACATCCATACATCCATACATCCATACATCCATACATCCATACATCCATCCATCCATCCATCCATCCATCCATACATACATACATACATATAGACACATAGTGTGTACATATAGACACATAGTGTGTACATATAGACACATAGTGTGTACATATAGACACATAGTGTGTACATATGTATATATATATGCATAATGACATATTATGTGTATGCATATATACACTATACATATATTTTATGCATATTGAATATGTGGATGACGGATGATGTATGATTATGTACAAGCTTGAAATCTTGTAAGCTGGTATTCATCGTCGTATTCAGTTGTGTCTTGAGGGATACCCTTGAGTCAACATCGAAAACTGGAAAGTCCACCATGACTATATATATATATACATACACATACATACAAATACATATGTGTATATATATATATATCATGTCTAAGCGGCTTTCCCCCCGTGGATATCCATGTTGCCAGGTAGGTCACGAGCCAAAGATGCTGATGGAGCTCGGTGACAATCCTTTGAAGACTCGTAGATCGAAGGCAGGAAAGCTCAACCCGTTGGATCTGGGTAAAGCGACTGGTGAATGATCGGTGAAATTGTGAAGTTGTGATTTCCAAGAGATGGATCGAAATGGAGGAGATTCAAAGAGAATTTAAGTATAGCTAGATTTTTTTTGGAACAGTAGCAAAAACGATTGATAAATGGAGGTTTCCTAGGATGGGGGTGCCCCTAAATCATCCATTTTAATAGGATTATCCATTATAATAACCATCTATTTTGGGGTACCCCCATTTATGGAAACCCCCATATGAGCAAAATCTGTGGTTTTGATGCCTCAAATCCTACTTTTCCAAGTCATGCAGTTGTGAGTCGATGTCAGGAGTGATAGGCTATGCGTTATGCAGTGATGGATGAGAGATAATACCTTACCAGCTATTGTTCACCTTTATATTCACCTTTAATTGTACCTTTATACATACATATATATATATATGATATGGATATATATATATATACATACATATATATATATACCTTTATACTGTACTCACCTTGTATTCAATACCGTCAATACCCACAAAGCGACATTTTGGTTTGGATCTATTTATTTGGGGTTTGTTGAGGGTATTGGATGGGATTGGATTATTTCATTCTTGAGGAATTGAATACCTTAGGAATTCTGATGGAATCCAATGAAATTCTAGTGGATGTTTCGGATTCTGCAAGTTACACCTTAGTCGACCGCAGCATTTTGCATTTGGCGACATGGTTGGACTGGGAATGGCGATTGCGGAGCCTGTCCAGTGCCAGGCGCCTTCCAAATTTGATCCTAGCTTGTGCGGCCACCTAGAGGAACACAATGGAACACACACAAATATGCATAAAAAAAGCACACCATGCTGAGCAGATGCGGCATGTTCAGCATGTTTATGAAATTGCTGTTCCAGTAGGTTCTTCATATTTGCTGATGGAATTCGGTGAGGTGCCCAATAAATTGACTTGGACATCATTTGCACTGTTGCTTAGAGCCAGTTTCGTGGTACAGAACCAAGCATGATCATCTATGATCTGAAATCATCAGAAGTCCTCACTTTTTTTTTCCTTATCAAAATGTTAGCTTAATTTTAATTATTAAGTTATCACGATAAATCATGAACAAATGTGGATAAGTCATGATAGGTCCCCAGTGATGTAAGTGTTGGTGATACAGCTTGAAAAAAGAACCTGAGGCTTAACAGCTTCCTGACGTCTGCTCAGATCCTGGGCTGTTTTTGTTCGGGTCCGACGGGTTAACGGGGAATTTTTGTGGCTAGAGCCTCCGGTGGCATCATGGCTACCTGGGAAATCCCCAAGCAAACTGGACATTTAAATGCGATAATACATAACTGGTTGGTGGTTTGGAACATGTTTTATCTTTCCATTCAGTTGGGAATGTCATCATCCCAACTGAATTTCATATTTTTCAGAGGGGTAGGGCTCAACCACCAACCATACATCATAATGAATGTATAATTGGGGGATTTTCAAGCCAGCCATGTTTGATTATCAGAGGGTAGGGGCATTGATTCATCTCCAAAATCGTCAGAGATGTGCCGAGAATATGTTTATTTTTTGCGGTCATAGTTTGAATTTGGGGTTGCGAATCAACTATTTGCGTGGAATAGAAGTTATGAGGCTTGCCAAGTTCTCAGCGTTGCGGATTTGCAGGGTTCCTAAACATGACCTGAATCGATGGTTGTTGGACAGTTGGAATTTGGGCAATACTCCAAAGTGACCACATTCGTCGCTACATGGCACATAAATGGAATAATGGTTGATCCATCCCCACACCACACATAGCCATGCAGGACCCGGACTTTGAACTAGGTGACTCCAGGTTGGCCAATCGTGTTGAACTGTTCACCGTGGTACTAGGGTTTCAGGGTTTTCAATCAGATGTGAGACGCAACACTTCGTGTTGGCACGACACCATCGGGTTCGGAACGCTTCGGCTTCTAAGGGAAAGCATTTGGCAGCACTACTTTGGAGCATCTGAAGCCTCTCAAGGCAGCAGGATGGGAAGTTCTTGCTATAAGCATCGATGGATGTGAGGGGGCTCAGTCCCAAAAACTGAGACAGGGATCGCAACTTGCGATGACTCTCCTATTTTTCACGGGGTTAAACGGGTTAAAACTACCAACCAGCTAGACATAGTTTATGATTTTCTGATCAGTGAAATTATGTGAAACTAAACATGTGCCAATGAGAGAAAGGACATCTGAGGTCGGAGAATGTGGAGTTTTTGAAAGATTGGAGCCCTTTTCATCATCATCAATGATTTTCCCCGTGAACATTGCCCACATTTTTCATTGGTGGCATCCCCAAGCCTGTGGTTTCGGCAGGTAGCGACTTGCTGATGCTTGAGTCTGGCTCAGCGGGATGAAAATCGATGAAAACCCGGAATTGGTGCCGTTGATCCTCCACACTGAAGTGATCTAAAGTGGGTGGTGCGTTTGTCTTTTATGTTTGTTTTTCAGATGTGTTATTTTCCAGCTTGTGATGCACCTTGTGATGGCTTTCCGGACATTTTCCCGAATCCGTCACGAATGTGTATTCCATCAGCAGGTGAAGACGTGTTGAAGGGAATTGCATGGTATATGCGTTCCATGTTTTTCCACATGCGCAAGATCAATTGCCATAGTTAGCCAAGTTGGTTTATAGTAGACAGGTCGCACCTTCCCATATTCTGATTCCGGGCATAGCTAAATGCAACCTAATAACATGATTCAAAGTTTGCAACGACTTCAAAACATGATGCATCTGAGCCGCTGTGCCTTGGGGATTTGACACCTGGGGTAACTACTGTCTGCCCTGGGGTAACTCGGTGTGCCTTGCGGTTGGGGTAACTAATGGGTAAATGGGGTAACTTGGGGCGTCTGCTAGTATATATATATATATTATTATTATTAATTATTATTATTATTATTATTATTTTATTATATTATATTTTTTTTAATTTTATTTTACATTATATTACATTATATTATATTATATTATACTATATTATATTATATTATATTATATATTATATATATTAATAAACACACACATGATATACTTAATGGGGTCAACTACAGAGTTATTGACCCACAACCACTTGAAAGTCGGAACTGTCGGCGACCGGAGTTGGACTGCAGTGGCAGCTTTCATGTTGAATCGTGAGTCCTACAGCTACGGAAACTATTGGTAAGTCACATTTTTGGACTTGGTTTTTCTATATGTTTCTATCCTTGGCCATTCTTGGGTTCAATGATTATAGCCATAGCCAAAGAATCCGCAGTTGAGTTCCAGGCAATAAAGCCGAAAAGGCATGGGTTCCAATCTTGCCTGGAGCGATGACTGATATTGATGAGTTGCGGATAGATCGGCAAGACGGCTATGCTTACACTCTTGAAGCTTTCATTGATCCTTGGAACTTGAGAGTATATCATCCAACTTCATTCCACTTAAGTTTCACAGTTTCTTTGTCTCGTGTCACTGTTCGTGTGTTCCTCAAAACTCTCACTCACAAACCTTGGAAGCCTAAGAGTTTGGCCAAGTCAAGCTACTTATCCAAACTGATGTATCTTACTTCTCTGTTTAGTTGGGTATATGACGTACTATATATATATATTGATTAATGTTAATCATCCCTTCGTCCTATTACTTAAACCCCCCAAAAAAATAATGGGATTGGTATGGCACTTCTGTTTTTTTTGGTTGAGCACAATTGGATTCTTAATAGTGGTAATTGAGAATCAACAGGAGAACAGGATGGTGAAACAATGGGTTCAACCCCCTATTAATAAAAATAGATAGCCACCTGCATGTTTTTTTGTTAAGGTCCTATCTCACATGTTTTTTTTATTATTAAGGTGTCCATTGGAATATCCATTGGAATATTACTAGGGGAAAGCTTCGAAATCCAGTTGTTGGCAATATTTTTATATAGATTTTGATGGAGGATTTAACTAAATTTGAAATCGAGTTTGTTATTTTTATTCTTAGGGTTTTCATTGGAATATTAGGGGCACCCTAATACAAAATACCCCCCTAATAATAAAGATAGATCACCGTGTTTACCATTTGGGGGGTGTTTTAGTAATAGGGAGAGAGGATTAATAATAATAGAAATAATAATGACAATAATCTGATATAATATATATATATTACATATTACATTATAATATTTTATATAATATTTTGCTGTATCAACAGTGGATTTCCAGCAGTTAGCCCAGGATGAGTACGGTGGCTCTGTCGAGGACCCTCCCTCCGAGTGGTTGGCGGCACCTGCGGCCGCCGCACTCGCCCGGTCTCGCTCCCCGCGGCGTGGCGACGACGCGTCCGAAACGGCAACGTTGACGGAGCTGTGGAAGCAGCGATCGTGGACTGAGGCGGGGCCTTGGGTGGTATAATATGGTGGCAGTATCATGACATTAGGGATTCTAAACGCATTGTTTTTTTTAATACACCATGGTGCATGGCATTTACATTTTATAATATAGAATACAGTATAAGTAAGTGCCATAAACCATGGTGCTACTCATGGTGATATGAATATATATATATGGCAAAGCCAACCCTAATATCACCAAGGGGTGGTAACATGTGGTAACGTTGATTGGGTTTGCCACAGTCGCCGACTAAGATCCATAAATTCTAGCCATTCGATAGGGAAAATGATGAGAAACCAGAGGATTCAGAGCTACTTAGACCCGATAGGTACTTGGAGGGTCTAGGAAGGCATGTGAGTTTTTGTTTGAAGGATGGTGTCATGATAACACACTAAAAAGACGATGATTCTTTCTCAAGGTATCAGAAACTCGATGGTTAATGTTTTTTTGGGGATCATTGGAGTTGAGGTCTTTAGAGTCTTTACCCCAAAAAGACAGTGAGGTATTTAGCATTCTTCCTGAAAACAAATGGTGATGTTTCGGATCTGTTTTGCATCTTGTGATTTTTCACTAGTGTCGGAAATGCGATGATTGTTTTTCTGGATGGTTTTCACATGGTTATATTCCAATTGTACTCCGAAGCGCTTATTTATATATATATATATATACAGTAATACATATATATACTATACATATATATATATATATAATTTTCAAATATATATATATATATAATATATATAATATATATAATATATATAATATATAATATATATAATATATATAATATATATAATATATATAATATATATATAATATATATTATATATATAATATATATAATATATATAATATAATATATATATATATATTATATATAATATATATAATATATATAATATATAATATATATATATATATATTATATAATATATATATAATATATATAATATATATAATATATATAATATATATAATATATATAATATAATATATATATATAATATATATAATATAATATAATATATATATATAATATATAATATATATAATATATATAATATATATAATATATATAATATATATAATATATATAATATATATAATATATATAATATATATAATATATATAATATATATAATATATATAATATATAATATATATAATATATATATATGATATATATAATATATATAATATATAATATATATAATATATATAATATATATATAATATATAATATATATATAATATATAATATATATAATATATATAATATATAATATATATATATATTATATAATATATAATATATATAATAATATATATATATTATATAATATATAATATATAATAATATATATATAATATATAAATAATAAACAAATAGATTGAGCGCGCAAGCGGCAGCCACTCTGGCAGAGTGGCTGAGTGGCTGCTTCGATTTTGCGAGCCGTGTTGCACATCCACTCCAAATATTTAGATATATATATATATAGATTATAGATATATATCGACATATATACACATATATACACATATATACACATATATAATATATGTTATATTTGTTATTTTATTGTATTGTATTATATTATGTTATATTATATTATATATTATTGTATATTATTGTATATTATTATATATTATTATATATTATTATATTTTGTTTTATTATAATATATTTTATTATAGTATATTATATTGTATATATTTTACATACATCAAGTTGTGAGCAAAAACCCACGAGATTTCCCTTTAAGGGGTTGCCATGTCGCTAGACATATGACCGCCCAGGTGAAGAGCATTTTGTGTCGACGGTATGAGTTGGAAGTGCAAGAGGATGAGGACGGCCTGGTACTCCGTTTTAACGAAAGCTGGTTAAGATCCATGAAGATCCCGGATGAAAAAGCTGGGTCATACAGAAAACACAACTCTGTTTGGCTTCACAGATAGTTTTTGTTCAGGGTCCGGGTCGAAAAAAGTGGGACACATCAACTGTTTGCTTCGGACTCCAACTGACTTGACCCTGCACTTGAAACCAGGATCTTTGCATTGTGTCCGCTCCACATGATAGTAGCCTCTGGGCTCGCAGTGACCACTATCGCCAGGTGAGGCTGGCAGTCTCCAAAAAATGGGGTGTCCCCCCAAAATGGTCAGTTTAATAGGGATAAATGATTATTATATAAGTGATTAACCAATGGATGGAACAGGTTTTCTATTTTCAGACAGACTCAAAAAATATGGCTGATGATGGCTGGTATGGTTCAGTTGATCCAGTTGTTGTTTTGTTCTTCTAGGTTGACACCAACGATGGGGCAGCGATGGACAGCTTGCTGTGTCCATTATGAATTGGATATAATATGATATAATGGAATATGAATGTTGATGTAATATGAATGGAATATGAATTGAATATGAACACATAATGTCACTTAACTTTGCTGATGTTGTTTCATGGTGAATCTCAAATGACCCCAGAGGATCACTTGAAGTCCCTGCCCTGGCTGGCCAGGTGCTTCGAGAGAGTCGGGGAAGCGTCTATGAAAAATGCAGTGGGAAGTTGCTGTGTATCTTGGATCCCAATGGGCACGGCCACGGGGAGAACCAGAGATCCAAAGATGTTTTTTTGTGCGGCTGTGAATGGTTGCATTTGATACATACTTTGTTGGAAGGATTGGAAGGCCATTTGACATCGATGTTCTTGTTCCTGAAATGTTTTTCCTCGCTGTATGAGAATTGGTACATGAATACTATGGTCACTGTATCCACTTATCAGATCGGTACACAGTGCTGTCTGAATCTATTCCTGTGTGCCAGGTCTTCCTTTCTTCAAGTTCTGGAACCATTCAGAGCGAAATGCGGATGACATTGACTGGAAAACTGCTATAGCAGAGGAAAAGATTGATGGAAATCTGATGAAGTTGTTCCACTACAAGGGGGTGTGGCGTTTGGCAAGCAACCGGACTCTTGATGTTCACAATACAAGTGGCAAATATGCATGCACTGGTAGATCCAATTACGAACTATTTGCTGAAGCAGCGAGGAACAGTGACCTTGTCTACGACCGTCTGGATGAAAGATGCTGTTATATGTTTGAACGCGTGCATCCTGATTTCCGAGTCGTTTTGGACTATCCGAAAGCCATGCTTTATCATATTGGAACGCGCAACATGGAGACGTTGCAAGAGCTGGATGTGGATATTGGAGTTCAACGACCAAGACGATGGACGGTTCGCAGTAGAGCAGAGTGTCAAGCAATCTTGGACTCCTTCCATAGCTTTGCCGAGGGCATTGTGGTAACATGATTGCCATGGCGGTTCCCAGCCATTCCCTAAGTTTTTTTGGGGGGGGAACGTGGATGATAATGGCAATACACAAACTAACATCGGTGTGGAAAACCCCTGGTTTTGCTAGGAAAATGATCTACAAATATATAGTGGTTTCTCCACATCTATGTTAGTTTACCCTCGGGTAACCACTGGAAGTTTGACTTTTTTTAGCAGGGGAGCTGGGAACCAAACAGGTAAGAGATGCCAAATACCACAGGCAGAAATGGAAACGGCGAGAATATGTAATGCTTCATTCAGCTCGAATGTTGGTTGGTGGCGATGGACCTTGTGCCTTGTCAGAAAGAGAAAGAGCTTGTTCATCCGGCATTCTTTTTGCATACTGTACTTCATAAATAACTATTTAGCTCTACAGTTCTATGTATATGTTATTTTAGAGCTGACGCTCATCGTCGGCTCCGCCGGATTACTTGACCCTCGATGTCATCGCAGGGTGGGCTTGAAAGCTATTGAATGAGGACCTGCTGCTTCAGAAATATATTCCATTGTGCTTTTTTGAACATATTCATGGACGTGTAAAAACTTCTGTGTGAAAAAGCTTCTGCGTGTAAAAGCTTCTCTGTGTAAAGACTTCTCTGTGTAAAAACTTCTGTGTGTGAAAGCTTCCGTGTGTAAAAGCTCTCTGTGTAAAGACTTCTTTGCGTAAAAGTTTCTGTCTGTAAACGCGCCTGTGGGTTAAAGCTCTCTGTGTAAAGACTTCTTTGTGTAACAGCGTCTGTATGTAACAGCTTCTGTGTGTAACCGCTTCTGTGTGCATACGCGTCTGTCTGCATAATCACTTCTCTGTGTAAAAGCTCCTGTGTGTAAAAGCTCCTCTGTGTAAACGCGTTTGTGTGCAAAATCTCCTTAGTGTAAAGACTTCTCTGTGTAAAAGCTTCCGTGCGTAAAAGCTCCTCTGTGTAAAGATTTCTCTCTGTGTAAAAGCTTCTGCGTGCACAAGCCAGTCTGTATAAAGACTTCTCTGTGTAAAAGCTTCTGTGCGTAAAAGCTTCTGTGTGCAAACGCGTCTGTGTAAAAGCTCCTCACCAGCAGCATTCATCATCATATTTATTGTGTGCTATCTTCTCGTCTCCTCCCTCCAGCTTTCTTTTGAGCCACACTGTCGTTTAGTTTCAATCTGTAACGTCGTTTCTTGTTGAAGAATGCCAAGAACATGTGAAAGCATCGCTCGCTTAAAAATTGAACATAAGCAGCGCACAAAGTGCTGTAATTTACAGCATTTTGCGCTGTCAGATGGCAAGAACCCGCGTAAATACCACACTTTTAATCCCTGAAAGTGGATAAAACACTGTTATTTACAGGGGTTTGCTCACGTCACAATCTTCGATTTTTTGAAAAACGCGTATATACCAGCGTTTTCTGCATTCATCAAGGCAAAAAATCGGTTCAAGAAGTGCAAAAAATGCTGTAATTTACAGGGGGTTAGTACTGTCACGGGCAAAAACTGCGTAAATACCAGCGTTTCAGCGTTCAAAAGTTGCAAAAACTGTGTAAATACCAGCATTTGTTGCGATCAACTTGCCAAAAATGCTGTAATTTACAGCAGTTTTTTTTTGCAGTGCTTCCAAAAACACTGGTATTTGCAGTCTTTTGTGCATCTCTAGTCTAAAAAGCATTGTTGTTTACAGCATTTTCTGTGTTTTTGCATTGTTCCCGCAAAAGGCGTTAAAACGCAAAAATGCTGTAATTTACAGCATTTTGTCAGTTTCGAAAAGTTAAAAATCGTCCGAAAAATGTGTCAAAACGGCACTTTTTTCCGATTTTAGGTGCCCTCAAAACGGGGGAGGGGGAATGCTCTTGGAGATGCTTATGAGCGATCCCGGATTCCGGCCAAAAAGCTCTCCCCCAGCAGAGTGAAGGAGTTTTGGTGTTTTTCGGGGCCCGGCGTCGGAGGGTCGGCGGCTTGGGGCGCACCTCACCATAGAGCTCTAGTCGCTCTGGGACGCTCGTAGTAGGGCAAGCCACTCGTGTGGAGCTGGCGGAGCCGAATTTAAGGGCTGCCCGGCGCCGCCGACCCCAGGCCGTGTGCTATCTTCTCGTCTCCTCCCTCCAGCTTTCTTTCGGGCCACACTGTTGTTCATTTTCAATCTGCAACGTTGTTGCTTGTGGAAGAATGCCAAGAACATGCGAAAGCATCGCTCGCTTAAGAATTGAACGAGGACCTGCTTCAGAAATATATTCCTTAGGTTGTTTGGAACATATTTGTTGGAAATAGACGGTTTTTGGGGAGCAAGTGAGTTCCCGAAAGCTCCTGCGAAGGGTTTTTCCGAAAGAACTGCTTTTAGTTTCAACTTGTTTGTTACTTCGTGTAAAGGCGCCTCTGTGCAAAGACTTCTCTGTGTAAAAGCTTTTGTGTGTAAAAGTCTTTGTGTGTAAAAGTTTCTCTGTGTAAAGACTTGTTTGTGTAAAAGCTTGTCTGTGTGTTAAAGCCCTCTATGTAAAGACTTCTTTGTGTGACAGATTTTGCGTTTAAAAGCTCCAAGACGTTTGTGTGCAAAAGCTCCTTAGAGTAAAGACTTCTCTGCGTAAAACCTTCTGTGTGTAAAAAGCTCCTCTGTGTAAAGGCTTCTCTGTGTAAAAGCCCCTGTGTATGTAAAAGCTTGCTGTGTGTAAACGCTTTTGTGTGTAAAAGCTCCTCTGTCTAAAGGCTTCTCTGTGTAAAAGCTTCTGTGTGCAAACGCGTCTGCGTGTAAAAAACCCTCTGCGTAAAGACTTCTTCATGCAAAAACTTCTGTGTGTAAAGCTCGGAGACGTTTGTGTGCAAAAGCTCCTTGGAGTAAAGACTTCTCTGTGTAAAACCTTCTGTGTGTAAAAAGTTCCTTTTTGTAAAGACTTCTCTGTGTAAAAAGCCCCTGTGTGTGTAAAAGCTTCTGTGCGTCTCCTCCCTCCAGCTTTCTTTCGGGTCACGCTGTCGTCCAGTTCAATCTGCAACGTTGTTTCTTGTGGGAGAATGCCAAGAACATGTGAAAGCATCGCGCGTTTAAAAATGGAACATAAACAGCGCACAAAGTGCTGTAATTTACAGCATTTTGTGCTGTCGGATGGCAAGAACCCGCGTAAATACCACACTTTTAGTCTCCGAAAGTGGATAAAACACTGTTATTTACAGGGGCTCGCTCACGTCACAATCGTCGATTTTTTGAAAAACGCGTAAATACCAGCGTTTTTTTTGCATTCATCAAGGCAAAAAATCGGTTCAAGAAGTGCAAAAAATGCTGTAATTTACAGGGGGTTGGTACTGTCACGGGCAAAAAACTGCGTAAATACCAGCGTTTCAGCGTCCAAAAGTTGCCAAAACACCGCTATTTACAGTGGTTCGCGCCTTCCACGTTTTCTTGACATTCCAAAAACTGTGTAAATACCACCATTATCTGCGATCAACTTGCCAAAAATGCTGTAATTTACAGCGGTTTTTTTTGCATTGCTTCCAAAAACACTGGTATTTGCAATCTTTTGTGCATCTCTAGTCTAAAAAGCATTGTTGTTTACAGCATTTTCTGTGTTTTTGCATTGTTCCCGCAAAAGGCGTTAAACGCAAAAATGCTGTAATTTGCAACATTTTGTCAGTTTCGAAAAGTTAGAAATCGTCCGACAAATGTGTCAAAACGGCACTTTTTCCCGATTTTAGGTACCTTCAAAATGGGGGGGAATGCTCTTGGAGACGCTTATGAGCGACCCAAATTCCGTCCAAACCAAATTCCGTCCAAAAAGCTTTCCCCCAGCAGAGTGAAGGATTTTTGGTGTTTTTCGGGGCCCGGCGTCGGAGGGTCGGCGGCTTGGGACGCGCCTCACCATAGAGCTCTAGCAGGGCCCACCTGAAGGACGGACGGGAAATGAAACTTCCCATGCACCTGTTCCTGCCGGACAGCCCTGGTAGAAAGCTAGCAAACAGCAAAAGTACTTCCAGATCTAAGATCACAAGAACACCAAAAGGCGAGTGCCGCAAGCCTACGTCCGTGGTTTCTCTAACGCACTCCCCCCTGCTGCACGCTGGGGTCGGCAGATATTATTGTATTTATCTATATTTGTCAATTGCATTTATTGTATTTTAGTCAATCATACAGTACTCTTCTGCGAAAGATCCTGGAACCCCGCAACTAGTGATCCATCATGATCCATCTCGTCGTTTTCGTTCCGTGTGCGTCCTGATATCTTTAACGTTATCGCCACATGGCTCAGATACATCACCTTCATTTTCAACAATTGCCTAGAAGATCAGATGATTGGATCGGGATCTCTGGATGACAATAATATGGATGATCTGTCAAAAGCAAAACATGCTTCCGCAAAGTTCATGAGTGGGAACCACAACGACAACGGCGCCCTCGAGGTTATGCCTGGGTGGCCCGATGCAGCACCGCGGGCACTCTGGAGATGGATCGTTTGTGTCTCAACGTTTGGCTGCGAAGTGAGGAGTCGGAGTTTTCCGTTTACTTTCCTGAGGTGCCTTGGGGATGTTGGGGATGTTGGGGCAGGATACATCCCTAAGAAGCATCAATGCAACGTGGCTACATGAAAGTGTTCATGGTTGATGATGGAATGAGTGACACGCTGAGGAAGATAACCTGAATCACATGAATTTCTGTGTTTGTCTATTGTTGTGCATTTTTGGTTATGGTGTCATTTTCCAACCTGAAACACACAGCCTGTTTGAGATTCCCATCGCGGCTGCCAGGCTGTCCAAAGGTACAGAGACCTTGCAAAAATGTTGGAATCGCCAGGACGGCCAAGGGATCTTGAGCTTCACCCATAGAGTCCAGACACATCCATAAAATTCCATAAAATGTGTAAAAGTATACCAAAGCACTGGCATAGAATACCACAATACCATACGGATATGAGTTTCCACTAGCAAATTGAGGGGTTAACCCACCCATAGAGTATGGATTTTCTACATGTCGAAAAATACGAATGTGCTTGAATGATGCTTTCGAAGTCTCCCCCATTTTCTAATGAACAACTTTAGGAGACCTCTGAGTCGTAAGATGCTGATTTTCTGGATAGTTTAAGTTTAGGTGCCCAAAATCCAGAAGCATAATTTGAGCATCTCTGGGAGTACGTTCCTGATTCTCTAGTGATCCCTGATTTTCTAGAGAGGCGGGTGATTCTATTTTGTTCGCAATCTTTCACAATCCCTTTTCGAGCATTTAAATGGGCTGAAGCCCCCGAGCTGGATCGGACGATTTTGGCATATTTTAGCCCTGCCTTGGATTTTGCCATAGCCTCGCAACCTCAATCTAACCATCCCCCGCGGAATTTCCTCTATTAAATCAGTGGGCACCCAGAGGACCTGTAGAAAATGGAACTCCACATGGTGGAGTCCTTAGAAAATGAAATCCTTTGTATGTTTATTCTGACAGTGTTCTCTGTAATGTAATTTTAAGCGCGGCTGAAGTTAGAAAGGGATATTAACTTGTTTCTTTTATTCGTGGTATTTGTTTAATGGGTTGTTTGGATCTCTAGAGAATCAAAGTGATTGGTGTGAGATATGAACCTATTGGATGCCCAGAATATTGAAGCACATGGGGTAGGTAAATATATGTGGTTTTAGGATGTTTTAGGGTTGTACTGAGGTATCATAAAATCCCGAAAAGTGGAGCATGAGTGGTTTGATTTTCTCGAGGGAAAAAATGTATTTAAATTAAAGAAACATATGCACCTATCCCCCAGCTCATTAGGTTTCCTAGGAAAATCACCTTTCTTGAATGGTACATGAAACAATTTTCCAAGTTGATTTCCTAGACGTCATTTTGATTTTGACCCAATCACTTCCATATCCTATATAGAGGCATCTTGGGGTGGGGGGTTGCGACCACCCGTTTTCGATCTAGAAAATCGATTTCGGGGGGGATCAGCTGAATTATCCTGTAACCTCCACCTTGTCTTTTTAGGTCTCGTGTTTTCCTAAGTCGTCAAGCTTTTTGTGCAGACGACTATCTTGACAAGAATTACATATTCCCGTGGTTTGAGCCTGTTTGCAGCCATTTTGCATTTTTTTGGACACGTCATGAACAACATTTTTCGTTTTCAAAACCTATGAAAATTTGCATTCTTTGGTGTATATGTTTTGAAGAGTCAATCAACAGCCACCACCAAACAAACAACATAATTTTACAACCTTGCATTTGTTGAAATGTTTTTTTGTTGTCGGCTGTCCTGGGCGACTATTAACGGGTCGTCCAGTGAACTGGGCATTTTCGAAAAGCTCAATCGAAAAATTCGAAACCGCACACTGGGCTGGATGTCGGGCTCTCGAAAATGGTTACCAGTAAGTTGAAATGGTTTACAACATATTTGGTATCGAATTTTCATCAAGTACGGAGGTGATTTTCTTAGAAAAAATGCTGAACATTAAACATAGCTTCTAAAATGCAGTTCTTTTACGTGGCCAATATCCGAGGATACCTTAAATTGGTTTGATGTCTGTTGCTAGATTTTCTTGGGTCCCTAACTATACCACAAAAAAATCTCCTAGAAAATCTAACATTCCAACCGGACCAGGTAAACTCGTACAGGTATACAATACCCATATTCATGTTTAACTTGGGATTTGAACAGGTTGGAGATGCAGGTCTTTTGCTCTTTTGAGATGGCAGATGGGATCGTCTGAAAAGGGTTATGCCCTCAATATTTCCATTCAATGGCAAACATGATGATAAGCTACGGAATTTTCGGATATTCTATTTTCAGACCCATATGAAGCGCCGCTTGTTTGCTTCTGACCAAGAATGGTGCTCGTACCAGTCGGTGTTCACAGCATTTGAACGTGTTTCATTGAATGCTTGGATGGTTTTCTGCAGGATTTCTTCAAGGTTTACTTGGTGACAATGATTGTACAGCTCGGGATGAACGTGGCACATTCATACATGAAGCTCAAATATGGGAGGAATTACAAAGAAGACAAAATATGATATGAATTTGAATATATATCAACAATGGTATCAATATGAACATATTTCGAAGGAAATTGTAATGACATCTTAAAATATTTTTTCCAAGGACCTGAATCAGATTATTTAAGGATACCTAGAGGATTTTACCAAGACCTTTTTCAGAATTTCCCACAAGGACCTTTACAAGATCATGCAAAGCCGTCTGACCGCATTTCCCTAGGATTTTCCAAAAAAAAAGATTTTTATACCAAGATTCCCGGAAAAGAAAAATATAATATTAAGAAAACTATATAGGATTATATGATTGTTTTCAAATTCGCGTATTTTTTTATAAAAATAATATAATCATAAATATTTAAAAAATATTTTGTAAGCTTGCGCAATCGAAATATATTTATACTACTAATATTACGATGCTATTAATATTACGCGCAAACCGGCTGGTCCGAAATCCCACCACCCCCAAAAAAAAATGACCTTTGGCCGAATACATCTTTAGTCTGCACGAAGACATAGCGAATACTCTTTTCCTCGATCTTTTTAGAACCTCCCCAATGGCACCGAAATAATCCGATTATTTTCGACTTTGCAAAAACAGGAAATTCCAAAATAGGAACGTTTTTTTGAGTTTTCATTTTGCAGTCCCAGTCCTGGTCCCGTGTCGCAATCCCATGACGGTCCCTCGATTCTCCCCTCCTTCGATTCTCCTCAGGTCCGTCCCAAGCTGCTGCGAGCTATTGCTATTGCCTTTCCTTGCCGAGCTTGTGCGCTATTGTCTCTGTGCTCTTTCTAGCACGCACCTCTGCGAGACTGCCCGCTTGCTGCACCTGCCTTCTACCGCACACACTGTGCTTGCTTCCTTAGCCTGTGCGCGCTGTTTTGGGGAGCTTCTTTGGGACGCGGCTTTCGGCAGCAACTTTGGAGAGCAGCTTTGGGAATAACTGTGGGGAGCAACTTTGCGGCTTTGCAGCAGCATTGACGAACAGTTTTTGAAGAAGGATAGCTTTGGGGAGTAGCTTTGGAAAGCAACTTTGGGAAGCAGCTTTCGGCAACAGCTTTAGGGGGGAGCTTTATTAGCTTTGGGGCACGGCTTTGGGGAACAGCTTTGGGGAGGAGCAGCTTTGGGAAGCAGGAGCAGCTTGGCGGAGCAGCTTTGCGCGGCAGCTTCGAACAGAAGCTTTGAGAAACCGCAGCTTTGGGGAGCAGCTTACTTACTAGCTTTGGAACGCAACTTTGGGGGGCAGCTTTCGGTAGCAATTTTGCGGAGCAGCTTTCGGGAACAACTTTGGAGAATAGCTTTGGGGAGCGGCTTTGGGAAGCAGCCTGTTCACAGCAGCTTTCGATAACAAATTGGGGAGCGGCTTTGGGGAACAGCTTTGGACAGCTTTCCGGACCAGCGGGAAGCAGGAGCAGCTTTGAGGAGCAGCTTTGCGCGGCAGCTTCGAACAGCAGCTTTGAAAAACCGCAGCTTTGGGGACTAGCTTTAGAACGCAACTTTGGAGGGCAGCTTCTGTAGCAATTTTGCAGCGCAGCTTTCCGAAGCCGCTTTGGAGAATAGCTTTGGGGAGCCGCTGTGCGGAACAGGTTGGGGAGCCGGTGTGCGGAACAGGTTGGAAGCATAGCAGCCTTGGGGGAACCGCTTTGCGGCGGTGCTTTGGGGAACAGCTTTAGGAAGCAGCTGCGGGGAACCGCTTTGGGGAGCAGCTTTGTAGAGCAGGCTTGGGGAGCAGCTTTGTGGAGCAGGAGCAGCTTGGCAATGCAGCTTTGAACAGCAGCTTTAGGTACTAGCTTTAGAATGCAGCTTTGGGACATGGGTAGCAATTTTGGGGAGCAGCCTTCGGGAGCCGCTTTGGAAAATAGCTTTGGGGAGCCGCCTTAGGGAACAGGTTTGAAGCATAACCGCCTTGGGGAACAAGTTTGGGAAGCAGCTTCGGGGAACCACTTTGGGGAAGCTTTGTGGAGCAGCTTTGTGATATTGTATTGGAGTGTATTGTAGTTTGGTGTATTGTAGTATGGTATAGTGTAGTGCTGTCTAGTATATTGTAGTGTAGAGTATTGTTGTTATAGTTGTTGAGAAGTGTTTTGTAATGCAATGTAGTGATAGTTGTAGTTGTGGTGTAATCTAATGTAATTGGTATAGTGTAGTATTGTGTAATGTATTATAGTTGCATTTGTATTTGTAATTGTGGTATATTGTAATTTAATTAGTGTATTGTATGTAATTTAGAATAATTATAATTATAATTGCGCGGAAGGTAATAATAATAATAATTAATAATTAATATATAATTATATTAATATAATAGAAATTTTATTTTTAAATATAAAATTCCGGAGAAGGTTTCGAAAAAAAATTAGGAAACGGTGGTGTTGGAGAGCGAGATTAGGTTACAGAAGGTTTGGAGAAGGGTTGGGACGTTTTGGTGTAGAGCCGGGTTTGGTTTAATAGGGTTTTGGAAAAGGTTTTGGAGAAGGTTTCGGAGGCTTTGGTGGAGAGTTAGGTGAGAATTAATAGGGTTGCGAAGGAGGTTTCGGAGAAAATTTTGGAGGAGAATTAGGTAAGATTTAATAGGAATTTGATGGAATTTGGAAAAGTTTTTATAGAAGGTTTTGGGAAGTTTTGGTGGAGAGAGAGGTGAGATTTAATAGGGTTTTGGAGAAGATTT